ATATATATATACACGTTTGGGAGCTTTTTGAATGCTCATGGCTTGTGATGCATGGGAACTTAAAGCCATTCCTGAATGTCTGCCACAAGCCCCAAGGTTTCTTTCCAGTAAAGCAATCTTGCCTCATCACTGAAAATACACACTGGAAGGTCTACAATAAATTTTGCAAGTGACATTTTTAATATACTTTACTTGCTCCTGCACAGTTTGGATATGAATCACTCCACAGCATTCCTGGGAGGCAAAGGGGAGCCAAGGAAGATAATGATCATGCCCTATGGTGCAACACAACCAGGAACAAATCCCAGTGGCCCTAACATCAGGCAGAAAAACGCACCTCAGCTACCACCTTAGCTGAGCTGCACATACACACGTTGTCCCTGCAGCGAACGAGAGCCCTTCACCTCAGTTCAGCATTCAGTGAGGGACATTTAAATCAAATTGAATTATTTTCCCTCCTTCATGGACTCAGTTAATGTGTGATACATATTAGGTCACAGTAATTCTGTTGGTGCAACAGCCCCAGGTGGTGTGACAATCACAAGAGATTTTAAGGGCTGCTTGATGTCATTACTTGTATCACAAAATTTTCCTCTATCGTGAGGAAATTCTGCTAGAACTCCTGTACTTACTTGCTGCTTTCAGAGGCTCTTCTCTCCGCTAAGGTCCCTGGAATGTATCTTAGCCCTGGTATTCTTCTTAGCAGACTAAAAGGAAACATCTGATCCAACTTGGAGGCCATTGACTCTGGAATATCCAAGCAGAAACAGTATCCAAGACCGTCTGAAGCCAGTGGTACGTTAAGGAGAACTGCAGACAAAATGCACTCGTTTCTAATGCAGTGACACACACAATCCCTTTTGGGCCACAAACTAATGAATTCTGCCAATACTGCGCAGTGCCACCTTCACAGGTCACAACCCTTCTTAGTTGCATTTTCATTGCTCATACAATACATAATTTGGCGTGGTGAGGACCAGCAAAGCCAGGGAGTTTAGTGCAGAGCAAGAGCCATGAATTCACGCAGAGAACACTATAAAGCACCTGGCCAACAAGAAATGTTGTGTGTTCCCCCATCTCAAGCAGCAGCTCTCCCACATTCTGGCTCAGGTCTTCCCATTTGAAAAGGATACAGGCTTCCCCAGCCAAGAGCCCACACAGGTTACTCAGGAGAGAAGAGTGGGGGATAAACCAGGCCATGCAGAGCATAAACCACGGCACCAGCACCACCGGGATCCTAAACCCCCAAACCAGAGCCCTCTTCATCCGTGAGCGGGTGGTGGACACCCCCAGTGTAGCAAATGCTACTGGCATGAATCCTTTGGCATCTTCCACCTCTCCCATCCTGGAGACAACAGTCTCGAGCAAGAGGTACAGAAGAGCTGTGAGGACAGCAAACGCAGCAGTGAAGAAGCAGTGCTTCACGGTGCCCACATTCTTCTCGAAGCTGCCAGCAAAATACCAGATGATGATGGCACCGCAGGTCAAGGATATCAGGTCTTCATAGACAAAGATGTAGGTAACTAACCTGTGAACTAAGCAGGGACCAACATATTAGAAAGTCAGGGACAGCAAGGAATGTTGTAACCTATTACAACAACCAGCCTGAACCAAGGGAGTTGTGGGCCTACAGGATAAACCCACTTTTTCAGTTCTATCCCAGCACAGGA